CTCTGGGCCTCAGTTTTCTCCTCTGTGAAATGGGAATAATAATGTTCCTTAGTGTTTAGGATTGAATACAAGGGACAATACATGAAATGTACTTAGAGCAGTGCCTGGCTCTAACATAACGAACTACTCAGTTATTTTCAGGGAAGAATATTACAACTTTGGTTACTAAGGGCATGTTTGGTTGCCAGGGACAGAAACCTATTCCTGTTAGCTTAAATAAATATTTATAGTAAGGCGCCGTAAGCAACCTCATGGACACCCAGTGACACCTGGGACATGTGGGTACCAGAGCCTGAAAGTCAACAGCATCTGAGGCTTCTCCCTCCCTCTCTCAGGGGTTGATTTGCTCCCCTCTTTTGTAGGCTCTATTTTCTTCTATTTTCTGCAGAGCAGCTTTCTTGGCTTGTCACCGTGCACATGTCCAGGAAGTCTTTCCCCCGAATCTGTGTAAGTTACTAGGTCAGGCACTCTCCATCACGTGACTCTATTTCACATAGCAATTCACCAAGTTTCCCAGTGAGGGGAAGTCCAGGCACTTGGGGCCACAGCAGATGAGGTGACGCAGAAGGACTGTGGCTCCTTCCAAAGGCTGCTGGTGTCTTAGGTTCTCTAAGAAGGTGGTGTAATGGGGGAGGGGGTGGCAGTCATTGGCAACTCTGGAGTAATCATGGTGGTGATGTTCAAGGGTGACTAAAGGCTCCCTGCTTTGAGCTCCCATTACTTAATTTGTAAAAAAACTTCTCATTGAAGGATGATATACATTTAGCAAAGGGCACATATGGGAAGTATACAGCTTGATGCACCCGACAAACTGAACAAACCTGTGTAACCAGCACCCTGTTCAAGAAACAGCGTCATCACTGCCTGTGTAGGTCTTCCTGCTCCCCTCTTGTTACAGCGCTCTAAGGGGGCATTAGTTTTGCTTGTTTTTATACTGCATTTCAAAGGAATTGTACACTATTTTTGTGTGTGTCTGGCTTCTTTTCCTTAACACTGTGATATTCAGCAATATTGTGTATATTTGTAGAGCATTCATTCTCATCACTGTAACGTATTCTGTGTACAAATACACCATACCCTATCTAGTCTACCCCTGACGGACATGTGGGTAGCTTTCTGGTTTTGTTCCTAGCGGTGCTGCTGTGAACGTTTGCTGAACACGTGCACATTATTGCTGACGACTTTTACCACCAGAGCTTTATTCAAGGTGTAGTGAATTATCCTCCATCATGTGTAACTGAATTGACGGTCTCTTATGGGTGAGTGATGGTGGGCTTTTTATCTGGTGACTTCTGTTTATGCAGTGACTTTCATGGTTTGAGGGCAGGGCCATATTTTAAACGTTTTGCATACATGGTAGAACCTTGTGTGTATTTCACTAGGTGCTCAACTATTTGCTGACTGACTGAATGAATAGAGGAATGAATAAATGGTGTGTGACTCCCTTTTTTCTGGGGATAAGCTCTATTTATAAGCAAGGCCCTGCCCCCAGCTGTCACGTTTAGAACTGGCTGACCTGCTGCTTAGCCAAAGCTGATTGATCAAGGAGTGGACAAGTGACCCAAGCTGGGCTGATCACATCTCTCTTCCGGGAATTTAAAATTTGGAGCCAAAAGAAGGAAACTGGGTACTGTTGATGCTCAGTCCTTTCGATTGTGCTCTAGAAAGCCCCAGACCCTGCTGTTAGGTACTAAAGGCATCATGGATCCAGCTCTTCCCAAATTCCTTCTCGTGGATAAAGATCTACCTATATGATTGTCAAACAACAATGCAAAACTATTTTGAATTAAGTTTAAAAAATGCACGGTAGAGATAATAAGTGCTGTAAAATGTCAAAATATAGAGAGATCAGCGAAGCCTAGCTTCATTGTGCATTCTGTTGCCTTGGCTTCTTTCTTGAGAATGTGATCCTATTTTCCAAGCCAGAAATTGCTTAAGTATTAAGGCAACAGTCCAGGAAAGGAGTAATGGGGACTTGAATCAGGGAAGTAGGTGTGGAATTGCAGAGGATGAGTGTAGAGATTTTACAGTAAATTTAGGCTTTAAGTCTTTGAAATTGATTGTGAGGGTAAAGAGAGAAATCAAAGATGATGCCAGGGTTTGAATTTCTGGGTTAGGAAGGATAGTGGTACCATTACTATAAACAAGGACATGCAAGAAGAGCAAAAGGGGAAGGGATAAAGGTGAATTCGGTGTGGGATATATTAAGTTTAAGGCCCAGGCGAGGCAACCAGATCTTTCTGGTCCAAGAATATGGCGGTGACTCATGCCTGTAATCCTAGCACTTTGGGAGGCAGAGGCAGGAGTATCACTTGAGGCCAGGAGTTTGAGACCAGCCTAGGCAACATAGTAAGACCTCTGTCTCTACAAAAAATAGAAAAATTATCCTCAGGGGTGGTGGTATGCACCTGTAGTCTCAGCTACTCAGGAGGCCAAGGCAAGAGGATCACTTAAGCCCACGAGTTTGAGGCTGCAGTGAGCTATGATCAGGCCTCTGCACTCCAGCCTGGGCAACAGAGCAAGAGCCTGTCTCTTAAAACAAAAACAAGATTTAGAGTTCCATCTAGCCTCTTAAAGTTTCAGTTCCCTGTCTATAAACTGATACTTCTCTGTAAGGATTAAAAGGAGACAGTGCATATAAAGGGTTTAGCCTATTGCCTGGCAATTAAGTATTCATAAAATATGTATTAACAGAATGATGATGATGGTGTGATGATGGGCAGATTGTCTCTGGAAAACAGGGACTGGAGCATTGCAGCAGGGATCTGCTTACAGGTGGAGATGATGCAGGCAACTGGCTGAAATTGGCAAGAAGAGAGTGGAGGGAAAAAATAAAGTAGCCCGACAGGAGACAGAGAAGGAACAGGAGCTAGAGGAGGAGACTGAGACAGAGCCGTTTGGGAGGAGAAAGCAGTAGACCCAAAGAAGGAGGGGTGCCCTGCAGCTGCTGGGGTACCCATAAAGTCAAGGGTGCACCAAATTTCAGGTGAATATCCTTTTTCTTCCTAAAGCTTGGTTATTGTTAAAATCAGATAAATTGACCTTAGGGGCAGCAACGTGTTAAGTTACTCAAATGCAAAAGAAGACTGAGAGTTCCAGGTGGCAGGTATCTGCACGTCCACGCTTGCCAGCGTGGAGGTGAACCAGCACCTGGTAATTCTCCCTGTCTGCCGTTGTGTCTCCTCCCACATTGCCGGGCTCTGGGCTGTTGCCGCCACGCACGCCCGGAGGCCAGCCGAGTGGGTGAACTGTGAGAAAAGAGATAATTCGTGATGCTTGGAGAAGTTTCCCCCACTTTCATTTCCTGACTTTTACACTTCGCTTCCTCCTCTCTTTCCTTGACAAATTGGCCAAAGTTAGAAAGGGGTTGCTTTCATACACATCTGATCGTGGCAGGACCTTGAAAGTGTGTATTTATAGTAATAAAGGGGAAAAGAGAGGAAAGGGTGAAGTGTGAGGAGCAAGGAGGACAGGAGAAGGGAGATTTAGTGATATCAGGAAAGAGGAAGGAAGACCAGAAAGGAGAGAGGCTGGTTTCAGATGGGGAGAGGGTGAGTGTGCTTTAGAAAACAGGTTGCTAGGGGTTTATTAGGTTTTGATTTGCAGACGGAATCCTTAGCCCGAACTTTCTGCCTTTTCCCAGCCTCCTAGCTGGAGCTCTGGGCAGGGCTCCACCAAGAAGGGCGAGTGGACGGCCGGACAGCTGCGGAGACTGTCTCAGGGGTGCAGTTCCAATCAAAGTACCAGACCACCCAAGCTCAGGGAGAGGAGCCAGGCCCCCGCCTTGGCCCTGATGTGTTTGGGGTTCCCTGGTGAGGAAACCGTGGAGTAGAAGCCCTGTCCTCTTAGAATAAAAAACATTCATAAAAAAAATACATTTGAGGCAAATTTGATCTTAGATCATACTCCAGTTACAGATTTAAAAAGATGGTTTTAGGCTGAGCACGGTGGCTCACGCCTGTAATCCTAGCTCTCTGGCAGGCTGAGGCTGGTGGATTGTTTGAATTCAGGAGTTCGAAACCAGCCTGAGCAAGAGTGAGACCTCCTCTCTACTATAAATAGAAAGACATTAACTGGCTAACTAATATATATAGAAAAAATTAGCCGGGCATGGTGACGCATGCCTGTAGTCCCAGCTACTCGGGAGGCTGAGGCAGGAGGATCGCTTGAGCCCAGGAGTCTGAGGTTGCTGTGAGCTAGGCTGATGCCAGGGCACTCACTCTAGCCTGGGCAACAGAGTCAGACTCTGTCTCAAAAAAAAAAAAAAAAAGATGGTTTTAACTTTCTTAACAGTCGTGACCAGGTGTCTTTTAAGGTTGGTAGCTGTGACCCCCTCACTTGTTTGTTACCCAGGTCCTGTGCCTACCCACACATGTGGGAACGAGCAGTCACGTGTCCCCGGGACTGTGGAATACGTGCACTTTGGGGTTCACAGGGTTTGGCTCTTAAGTGTTTAAAACGGTATCCTTGTTTCCTTCATTGTTTTGGTGGATCATCCCCCACAACTAGACTAACCTGTTGTTTTTGCAAAGCCCGGGATTTTCCTAAGCGTCCAGCCGCCCGGCCCTTTCTTTGTTGTTCGGTGTTCAGAGCGTTCCCCGCTGCAGGCCATTGCCGGCACCGGCCCGAGTTTCCGGAGGCCTTTTCCCCGGGGACGGTTTATTTTTGACTCAAGGGAGCTGCGACTTGACTTTCCCAGGCCCGCCACCCTGTCGAAGCGGCGGAGGCGCTGGGGTCAGGCCGGTGCCAGGGCTGTCGGCAGCCGGCTCCTCGCGCCCCTCAGGCGGCTTCTGCAGGACGCGGTCCTCCCCGTGGCCCGCACGGGCTCCCGCGCCTCCCACAATCCCCGGCGCGCGTCCCCGCGGCGGGCGGGCGGCCTCCGGACGCGGTCCGGAAAGTCGCGAGCGCGCGCGCGCCCGCCCGACCCCCGTGCGCGAGCGCCGGCTTCGGCCATTTCCGGCCCGGAGCACTTCGGCAAGTTCCGCAGGCGCCTGTCGGAAATGGCTGCCGGCCGGCAGGGGGAGCGGGGGATCCGGCGCGGCCTGGAAGGCGGGCGGCCGGCGGCCGGAGCGGCTTCTGGGACGCCGACTTTCGCGCAGGCGGCGGCGGCGGCGGCTCGTCCCTAAACTGGAAGCCGGTAGGGCTCCTGGCGGCGCGTGAGGCCGAGGAGCGGGGGCCAGCGCCCGGAAGGGCTCGCGGGAGGGACCCCGGGGTGGCCCCGGCGCTGGGGACGCGGGGCGCAGGACCGGGTCCGGCGGTGCCGGGGAGGCTGCCGCCCGGGCGGCGGGAGGCGTGCAGCCTCGGAGCGGAGTAGGCCCGCCCGGCGCCCCGGGGGCCTGCGCGGAGGACCACGAGGCCCTGTGCCAGCGGCGAGGAGGGTAACGGGTCTCGGTGGGGCTGGGCGCACCGCCTCGCACCCCCACGCCCCTCTCGCCCCCGTTTGCGCGGCTCGGGACCCCTCTCCACCCTTTCTTCTGGAAGCCTGGCTGCAGCTGTTGAGCTGCTGCTGCTCCCGAAGCCCTGCTCCCTCCTCTGCCCGCGGTGTTTGTCCAGCTGCTGGCGGGGAGCATCCTCTGCCGACGAAGGCGCAGCCCGGGACTGCGCCCCCTTGTCCCCGCGCACACCCTCTCGTATGCCCCGCGCGCTTCCACTCCGAGTCGCCTGCTGCTCTCCCTCCGGCTCGCTCTGCCGGGCTTGCCTCTTTCCTGAGGAGCCACCGTCGGATAGCCACTTCCTGTCCGGGTGTCCCGGTGCTGCTGCTGCTGCTCTCCAGTCTGCGGTCTGGCGCCCGGGCCCAGCCCCTGTGGCGCTGGCCTAGCGCTGCGGGGGCCGGAGGGGCCTCGGGTTGCTGTCCACACGCCTGGAATCTGAGCCCGGCCACCGGCCCGCGCTGCGGGGACAGTGCCTGTCCCGAGCCCTTTGGAGATCCCGCAGGGCTGCCCGGCTGCGGATGGGGCGCGCGCTCTCTTCCCACACGGAGCAGGCGGTTCGGCTCCTGTTCAGGTGTCTGTGGCTCTCAAAATACTTACATTTAGTGGATTTCCCTCCCCCTCGCCCCTCCGGGACGGCTTTTCTTTTTTAAAAATTTAAAGGCTTCAAGTCCTTTTGGTTCCACTCCTTTGGTGGAGGAGGAAACGCAGAACACCACATGCCCATTTTTCCCCCCATATGTGATTTACTTGAGAGGCGTCTTTAGCATTTCTTCTCCTCACTTTGTCCTATTCTGTCTCCAGTTTTGGAAGCTTCACTTTTGAAGGCTGGGCTCCCCATGTTTTCTTTTGCCTGTCTGCAGTTTTCTGTGTTTTGCTCGGCAGTTAGTCTTGCATTCTGGTACAGTGACTGTAACTGTGACCACCGTGCCCGGGACAGTAACGCGTGAGGCGTTCTCAACTTTTACATATTTCTTGATGAATGATGAGAGCAAAACCATTTTCTGAAACTGATGTGTTTAACGTGGTGTGTTAAAAATACCTTATCATGGGAATGTCCCATTCCTCTGCCTGGGGGACCCTGGAGGGGTCTTTCTCATGAGTGTGAGAGAAACTAACCCAAATGCTTTCTGGAAGACAGAATTGTGGATCTGCAGAATTCTTGAAACATTAGGTATTTAATACCTAATACTAAAAGATGTGAGAGGCTATCTACTAGCCTAATGATTGACAAGCATGTGTCATTTCTCCACCCCTCACTTTTCTAAGGGAAAGAAACCTATTATTAAATATTTGGTATGTAGTTGACATCTTTTAGTCATTAGGCCTCAGATTTAACCTCTGAGTAAAAAGACTTCAGAAAGGTTGGAAGTGAGTTAGGGGCAGGGTTAAGCCTGAGAAATGGACTTCTTGGAGAGAGAGGAAGACCCCAAGGATGGTTTGAAGCCATCAGAAGAATGTCTGCAGACTAGATAAAGACAGGCCCTTTTCTGCAGGGCTCTAGGCTAGCTGCAGAGTGGGAAGTCATTGAAGGGGGTGCAGGAGTGTGGCAGCGGAGTGGTGGGGTCCCTATCCAAGTTGAGATGGGTAAGTAGTCTTCTGGAGAGGGATTGGAGGTATTCCTTGAAGTTGAGTTAGGTATTAGGAGAGAAATGACGATCCCACCAGATCTACTCTTGGTAAAGGTTCCAGTGCCTTTCCATACAGTTACTCCAGGGTATGTGAACCAGGGTCCTTGCATAAAGTCCTAAAAGTGCGCTCTAAATTCTGCTGGATATTAAGCTTAGCTCAGAAAACTTCTGTTAACGTATTTCTTTCCATTTTATTTTTGTTTCCTCCTAGTTTTCGGTAACAATTTCTTTTGAAAACTTATAATGATGGGGCAGCTTTAAGCTAAGTAAGAGGAAAAAGGATTTTTCATGTTTGTAGTTTCCATGAAAGTAGCAAAGTTCAGGCAGATGGAGTTTGTGAACTTAAGAGGGACAGAGTAGGCTCACCTGTAACCTTGATCTTTTCCTGCCCGAACCCGCCACACACTCCTTTTACATTTTCAGTCTTTCAGATCTCTTGGGTGATGTTACTAGGTGGAAGAGAAGCAGAATTTTAAAAATCTGTAATCTCGAAAACAGGAATATGGAGAGTCATGTGGTGACACTTACCTGTCCTACACGTAGGCCATAATGTACTGTGTAGGGGATTGCTCATGTGCACCCAAATGACCCACTGATATTCCATGAGTAGAAGAATAATGGTAGTCTGTTGTAGAGTGAAAGCAGCATATACATAATGTGTAAAAAAAAAACCCTAATATGTGCAAGGATATGAACATATAATCCATAACTGAACGAGCAAGGCTGTGCTCCAGTTAAGCTTTATTTACAGAAACAGGCAGCTGGTTGCAGTTTGCCAGTGCCTACCCTATAGTATCACTCCCTCACACACATGCCATTGCTTTTGTATGTCCTTCCATTTGACTGTGCCCAATACCTTTTAGACTGGGGTCAATGATGTTAATGATTAACAACCTGCATGTTTGCTTTGTTGTCTGTTTTCCCTGTTATCCTCTCCTCTTACATTGTCATCATTTCAACCCTCCTCACCTTCCTTTTAAACATTTTTCAGCAAATATCCGATACTTTGAGGGAGGCATAAAAAAAAGAATTAGGTTGGGAACATGCCCTTAGCATGTATGAGAGATAAGACATATATAAACGCATTATGATGGTAGATTATAATAATGTCTTAAATTACTAACTTCTTTGCCCTCATCTAGTACTTTCATATGTTTTTTCTTACATAGATTTTGATCTTTATAATCACTGAGATAGGAGGCTGAAAGTTACAATATTCCTTTTTATGTTTTTGAAGGGAAAGGTAGGTAGGAAAGAAACTGAGGCTTGGGAGGGTATTTGACCAAGGTCACATGTAGTAAGTGGCAGGATTCTTGAACTGGTCAACAAAATTTGACTTGTCCCCAACTAAATTCTTGCAGCCCATTCTTAAAGCTTTCCCTTGGATTGAGATGTGGGTTGCCTCCCTGTGAGTGTCACCTTTTAGGGCCACACAGAACAAATCGGTTGCTGTTCCCCGTGGCAGTTCTCAAGGTGTTAGAAGATGGCCGTCATGTTTCCCCATGACACAAGCTGCAAACTGGCGTGCATGGATGGAATAAAGCCTGCCCAACTTACACAAAAACTTAAATTGGAAGCCAACTTTTAGAAATGAGATTTCACATAAAATATCTATTTCTGTCTTCTCTTGAGAAAGAAGGGTAGCATTTGGTGATAGAGCTCACATTTGTGATGCCAGTAATGTCCCTTTTATGCTAAATATACTCTTCATTTTGCTAAAGTCCCTCCCTACCTGCCAGCTTAACTCATTTACTTGACTTTCAGGTAGTCAAGCTCACTCTAGTTGTCGAGATTGCCATCGTTTCACAGGTCTTCTACTCTGGGGGCTAAATAGTCCCATTTCATTCAGATGTTTCTTATTTGACTATTTCAGATCCCTTAACTTCTTAGTCCCCTGCCCTCCATTTATTTTGTTAATGGCCCTCTTAAAGTGTGGCGCTCAGTGCAGAACACAGGATTCAATATACAGTGTGGACTGTGGACCAACAGAGTAGAGTAACCTTCACTTGTTTGTTTTTGATACTCCATTTTTTTAAAAAAAGCAAAACAAAAAACCAAGGTGGTAGGTTTTTCCCTTAGCAGCCACATACTCTCGACTCACTGAAGTTATAGTCAACTGAAATTACGACTCTGTGTTCACATGTGCTATTAGACTAAATAATTTCCACGTAGTTTTGAGATCTGAGTGCTGAACTCTATTACATTTAACAGATTAAGTAGACTTCATCTGCTTAGGTATTCCAGGCTGACTCAATTTTCTTTTTTTTTGTATCCTGGGTTTTCTTCCAATCTTGACTTATTCCTCCCGGCATGACTTCCTTTATTTCTGAAGTAGAACTGTAAAATATAAAAGCACTGTGGCTTAGCGTGGTGAAAATAGTTGATGAAGTCCCAAACATTATTAATAGATTTTGTGGAAAATTAAGGCGGGTCTTAAAGGAAAGCGTTGTGCTTGAAATCTTGGAGGTGAAACAACAGGAGGTCTTGGGCATAGCCCCACTGCCTTGAGTTGATATATTGGTGACATTTTCCCTGCAGTGAAACAAATATATATGGGGGGGGGGGCGTGCGCGCTTTTTGGGTGCAAGGCAGTTGTAAGTCAGTGAGGGCCTGGCATCTAAAAGGATCTTTGAGGTCATCTGGTCTAACCATTTAATTTATGAGTTAAAAAAGGACAAGTAGCTTATGAGTCAAGAAGAACAAGGAATTGTGAAATGAGGGGACCTGGTGAATCAGATGGCAATGATAAAGGGACAGCAAAGCTTGAGTCCCAAGTTGAATTCACCCATGGAGGTTTGAAGTAGGATGCCTGAGCTGGAAGCTGATTTACGTCTGGCTTAGCAAACTTTTACTTTGGTTTCTTTCTCTCTTTTAGGGAGGCCCAGGGCACTAATGATACCCATTTAGAAGTGCCACCGTTGGTGTTTTTGCTTCTATTTGTTTTTCTGTTTAGAAGTACATATGTGTTTCAAACATTTCGTATCATACTGGACATATGGCTTTGAACTTGTATTTTTCCACTTAATGTGAACATTTTTCCATTTTATTTAAAATTATTGAAAAGCTTACTGACAGTC